GCATACAATTGAGACAAATGAACGCTTCCGACCGCAAGACAGTTAAACACCAAAACTCTATCAAATCACAGGTCGACGCCATCACCGGTAACGTGAAGGCGATCGGCGAGAAGTGTTTAATCAAACGGTCTATAATTGGCAATAACTGTACGATTGGCGACAAAGTAAAACTCATGAACACTATTGTGATGGACAACGTGACCATCGAGGAAGGCTCTAACATTCAGGGAAGTGTTGTCTGTTCTAACGTTCACATTGGAACCAATGCCGAAGTGAAAGACTGTATCATAGCGTCGATGCAAAACGTTCACTCATTAGGTCTGTCCTCGAAGTTGTTGTTTACCATAATTTGCAATATAATTGACATTTTGTTTATAATTTACAGCAAAATTTACGAACGAAGTGATTATGGATATCGACCAGATGATGGAGTTATGATCACCACTCGCTATTATCTGTTATCCATGTCAGCTAATTCAGTGACCAGTTGTACAACGGGTTTCACTCGTGTTTTTGTTTATTAATTTAAATAATCGGGTTTTAAATAAATCTTATTTATATATTTGAAATGAAATAATTAATGAAATAAAATTTTGTAATTAACTCATTAGAAATGCATTTTAAAATTAAGAATTGAATTTTGTTGTCTATATCATTGAGATCAGCAATAAATGAAAGTTTGTTTTAATCCAAAGCGTTTCCACTGTTCACTGATTGCCGTCAATAATTAGCACTTGTGTTGACGTTTGACACGAAATCGTTTGAATATTAATACTATTTTGTGCGCTCTTTTCGACGTATTTCTTGTCGATAACAGCTATTGGGCGCTCATCTGGTTTCGGGAGCGTGTCTTTGGGCTGATCTATCTGTTGAGCCGTCGATGCGATTGTCTTCATTGGCTTCAAAGCGATGGTATAATTTGATGGTTTCCACTCTTTGTAAGTGGTGTATAACATCCAGAACGACATAATGATAGCCACTGTGAATACAATGGTGTAAAATACTGTGGGAACTATTAGTATGATTCTGAGAGCGTTATGGACCAAACCGGCCGATAATACATAGTCGACAAATGCCAGGTATAGGATGTAAAATAGGAATGAGAAGATAATGCCGCCGACAATAGTAGACATGAAGATCTCTTCTTTGGACCAAAAGAATTGGCAGAAGCCCTTAGGAATGACGTGAATCTCGACATTCTTGTAAGCGGTTCCACACACACCGCAGCAGTCCTTTTGGGTGAGTGTAACTCTTTGGGACAAACACGTGAAGTGCGCCCATCGCTTGCCGTCCTTACAATTGCATATATTAATCAACGGCTCGTCTGGCGATGACTTCTTGCAGATCCGACAAACGGGTGTTTCTTCCAATTGGATTGTCTCGAAGTCCTTGTCGTTTATCAACGTTTTATTCATTTGGATTTGGATTTTGTTTTTATTGTCTGTTGTGTTTGGCTTATGGTTTGATTTGAAAACCGTTTCAAATGTGTTTTCATTGCATTGGAATTTATGAATTATAATATAGTATTGTTTGTGTCATTCGTTAGAGTTTTATATTATTGTTAGAATTCCTGTATTTGTTTTACAACACATTCTGTGCTGTACTTTGGATGCATTTACTGTACTGTATATGCCGTACAAAATAGGGTTCTATGCACTCAATATTATAATTTATAAAACATTACATATTTTGATCACATACTCAAACTTCACACATTTTTGAAACTTAATTTTATTAATTAAAAATACATTACAAATTCATATGAAATGCCCTTTCATTATAGAGATTATAGTTTTCACCAAATACTCGACTTATCTAAACTATAATATCTTAAAATAATTGATAAATGTGTTGCAAAATATGTGTTAACTTATAAGTTATAACACTTAAATGTGTGTCAAACGGATCTTCTATGCGACCACTTTATGGTTTCTATTTATGTCTTATAAGTTAGCAATAAATATAAAATGTGCTAAAAATAAATTACCATAATTTCCGGAGTATTTTTCCAATATATTTAAAAAGGCTTAATTTAAATATTAAATATTGTTTAGAAACTTTTTCAAATATTGCATACACAATGGTGTTATTATAAAAGATTATAATACTTTTAATAAATAGGATATATTTGCATGTTTTTGAATAATTAATATACAAATGGTAAGATTCTGGCCTAAAAATGTAAGCTTTTAATTAAATGGTATAATTTAATGGATATTTCTTTCAATTGTTCGTTCACTAAACTCAGAGCATTTCATAACAATTACACAAATAGATATTTTATTACTAATTCATGATTTCATAAAACATTTATATTAGTCTTAATGATGTCTGCGGTCAGATTGAGGGCGTGGGAGGGATAAAAGTTACAAGTTATTACATTAAGTGTATCCATACTTTCAAAGTTGTTGTAAATGCGAATAACCGTAATTGTAAAATATGTAAAACAGTTGATCGCATCGATGTCTATGACATTCATTTCCATTACAGACAGAGTCTGTGATCTTTAGATATTGTAAACGAACACCAATACAAACCGACTCTTGTTTTGTTTGTTTTTAGGGATGGTCTGTATGAGTACATTATCACTGTATTGTGAATCGTGGTATTATCGGCATACATAAGCATATTTTAAAGAGAGAGAGAGAGAGAGAGAGAGAGAGAGAGAGAGAGAGAGAGAGAGAGAGATGTACNAGAGAGAGAGAGAGAGAGAGAGAGAGAGAGAGAGATGTACTTTAACGGAAGTATCAGATGGAAATTGGCAACTATGTACTAAATGGGTACCTATTAAACACCCGGTCCATCAAAACAAGTCAAATAATAGATTAAATCAATCAAATGTCAAGTTTTTATTTTTATCTAACAATAATGTTGTATTGAAAGGGAATATAATGTTATCATTAAAATCATTTTCATTGATAGAGTAATGGCATCGAAAAGAATGGGTGAATGACTGGAGAATATCAATAATAATAACACAAATGTTATATTGATATTAATATAAGTAACTCATAAATTGCCGAAATCTGCTATTTGTGACATCAATTGTCATGAAATTGTCGCTTATTCTCAGTCACGAAGTCATGCGATAATAGAATTAAGTTATATATCAATTAAAGCATCACTTTTTCAAACACCAAATTCATTATACATTTCATTGTGTCATCTCTTTTCCTACTATGGCTTGCATTCAACTCATCAGAATTCAAGACAATTACTTTATATGGCAATCAATTTATGCATACAATATATAAATACACAATAATTTTTATCATATCTTAATTATTATGTAAATTCTGGTCACCAAATATTGAGTGAATTTGAGCCACAAATTATTTTGCATTTATAGTTGATTTAATTGCATTGAATATTCATATTTATGAAACTCATTTGCAAAACAATATTTTTATTAAACAAATATTTAAAATATGCTTTTAGTTCCCATTTATAATGAGATAATGAGTTTTTCCTGGATTTTCATTCTTTACATTTTAACAAAGGGTAAATGTTTGGTCTATTGAATGATAAACATTGCTATTTATACGCAATGAAGATATCCATAATTGCATTAAATATAATATTAACATGTTTAGGACAGAGCGGTCCTCTTAATTGCAAATTGTATTACAGTAACAGCCAAACTGTCCATTAATTGATCGATTGGTTTCTGCCATTTGACACAATTTTAGATGATTGAAAAAGAAATTAATCTCAATATGTTTTATATAACATTAAGCATCAGTTGGTTCTGCTTTTAGATAAAAAACAATTATAATTATTAAATGCATAATTTTGTGGCAAAAAGATTAAAAGTAAACGAAATAATCATTTCAACAGATGGTAAGAGGAACTCAAACAAAAGTGTTGAGCATTTGAAGTGTTTAATCGGTTATACAGTGAATATATAAAACTAAATTAACCAAAAACACACACAATTACAAAAAGCTGTGCCAATGGGTTGTTATTCGGGAATGAAATGGGAAATTGAGATATCATTTGGACGATTGGTTATAAGTCTATAAACAATCACACATTTCGTGCTTTGAGATAATTAAAGCGATTTATAAAATTAGTTGTATTAACTGTTGGCCACCCTTTGCCCCCTCATTGTTATTACCTGTATATGCAATAAACTATTGTAAAACAATCATCCAATGATACAATAGACTGATGCTATGCATCATTGTTAATTAATTATATTTCAATTAAAATAATAATTACTTATTACTTGTAGACTAATCAATATAATATCGTAAAATTGTGTTCAAACATATGAATTAAAGGATCAAAAAGTGCTTAAATGCAAACAATGAATGAGATGTGAGTGAAAGCAAACAATAATTATCAATATTAAAGATTAATATTTAACATTGAGAGTGAAAATGATAACTTTTGTCAGTTATAAAGTGCAGAATATAATAATGTAATGTGTTTTTGTAATACAAGAATAATATTGCATTACAGGTAATCCGTTGAACAGTACTTTACAATATCATACACGACATCACTTAATGAACATAATGTTATTGTTTGAACAAAATAGCGGTGAAGTGAAGGATAATTATAGTGACAATAAAAAAATAAGATTAAATAAATTTATTTATTATACATGTTTGTTATATACAAATATAACTACAGAATAAATAAACAATTAATACAAGATTGAGATCACAAACACAAATGGTGTGACCAACAGATCGACATATATTATATATACATCGATATTCGGGTCACAAAACAAAATAACAAAAATATTATAATTAAATTAATGGATTGAATCCAATAATCAGTGTATTTATTTATTTTTGTTTAAGGTAAAACATTTAGTCAATGCAATTCATTGGCGTTAAGCGCACTATTTTTTGGTGTTCATAATTATAGACACAATAGAGTATATAAATTATATTTTGAAATAGTTTTGATGAAACATTGATTTATTAACAATAATAATGGATAATAAATAACAACAAAAGGATAACAAAAAATATATTTGGCAGTAAATTTGTGTAGAGAATTATGATCTCAACTATTAATATAAAAATATTTATTTTTGTTGTTGAAATAAATTAGCGTTTTGGGCGTTTTAATTGAAAATAAGAACTTTATTTTGAAATTTTTTATTTTATTTATTATGTAATGTTTTATTTCGGCGACGAATGATGTTATCTGTCATTAAGTCATTGTTTTTATAAATTATCCAAATATTTGTATTGTATTCACAAAATTTAATGATTGAATATTACGGAGAGAATCTAGAATTTGAGTTCAGCTACAAATACATTAATGCAGAAATGAAACAACAATGTCATTAAAGTATAAACTTATTTCTATATTATAAATGTTATATAAATGTGATTTAGTGTTCATTTAGACAATTATTCCCGCAGTACTGAATGGCTTTGAATTATTTTAACAGAATTACACCAAAACAGGAATTAAATGTTCGAAATCAGCAAAATCTGTGGGTGCGGTCAACAACCCTTTACTAATCGCACCGACAGTCAAACCCAATTCAAGTGGATTTTAAATTAAAA